AGGACTCAGCACCATCGCATTCATCACGTGCCACCAAAGAATTTTTACAAAATGAGGTTCCTCGCTTCATTTCTAGCGCACAATGGTCACCTGCATCTCCGGATACCAATCCGTTGGACTTTTGTGTCTGGAGTATTTTGGAAATCAAGGTTGGCACTAAAAAATACCAAAGTGTCGATCACAAAATACCGCAATGCAACATTCATTGGCCGTTTGAAGGTCATAATTCGTGCAACAGGTGACCAATTCGAACAAATCTAAACTTATTCTAAAATTTGATGTTATTTCCCACTTTTTTTTTGCTTTCATTCAATAAAATTAAAAAAAAGAAATGTAAAAATTATGGCGTTTGACTTTGTTTCAGTTTTTTTTCTATTACCCTGTATTTCGGCCGATTTCATGTATTTTATGCACCAAACACGATTTGTGTATCCAATTCCAATGAAATTCAGAATGAGTTGCAGAATTTGGTACAAAAATAAATTTGACAGATTATATTGAAATCGGTTAAGATTTGAATATAGCTCCCATATATATTTTCGACCGATTTCACATATTTGATGTACCAAGCAAGATATGTATGTCCGATTCCAATAAAGTTTGGAATAAGTGACTGAATTTAGTACAAACACAAAATTAAGTCAAATATATTGAAATCGGTTGAGTTTCGGATATAGCTCCCATATATATTTTCGCCCGATTTCACATATTTGATGCACCAAACACGATATATATGTATCTGATTCCAATGAAATTCGGAACAATAAAAAATGTGTCAAATTATACAAGTGTCAACTAATATTGAAATCCGTTAATATTTGGATATAGCTCCCATATATACTTCGGCTGATTTTAAGTATTTTGTGCACCAAAAACGATATAATGTCCGATTCCAATTAAATTCAGAATATGTGTTGGAATTTGGTATAAAAATTAATTTTCCAAATTATATTGAAATCGGTTCAGGTATATATATATATACATATATATATATATATATATATATATATATATATATATATATATATATATATATATATATATATATATATATATATATATATATATATATTCGTTCACGCGATGGTACAACAAACGATTTGTTTGTTTACGCAGAAAATTATTAAAATAAATATTTTTAAACCATAAAATATCCGTATATAAAATTATAAAATCAAAAGTGGTAGCGAAGCGCACCGGGTTCAGCTAGTCTATCTATAAAAGACTACTAGAAGAATTAGGACAAAGGCCCAAAATGGTAAAGACTAGACAAAATGCATTTTGAGCAAATGGTTTGTGTCTATAATACATGGAGTAACAGCTCACGAAAGAGGCATGTTTACATAACAACGACAATTATTATTCATAGACCTATTCAAAAATGTGTATATTGCCTTAGCGGTTTAAATCAGTTAACATTGGTAAAAGTGTTGTTATGATATCATAACAACAGAGGTATTTCTAGAGGGTTGCCATATTTTTACTCTGTCTTGTCCTATCTTTATGCTTCTATGTCTTAGATACCATTAGAGTTCGCAAGCTAAATATTTTTTATCGATTTCTGTTAGCTTTTCAATTTTAAAATTTTAGTAAAATTCGAATACCTTTCAATATTCCCTAAAACCCCATATGACCAACCATAAGAAATCCTTCGACTTTGGTCATCGGTCGCTGGACCTCCAACAAACAAATATATATATTTCTTGTATGTCTACTTGTCTTGTTCTATATGCGGTTATTCTCCGTTGCGGTTGGTAGTGTTGTTGTTATTCTATGCGTGGTTAAAGTCATATTTGGTTACAAGTTTTTTTATTATTCTCATATGGTTTTTTTTCTATTCGTTTATTTTCAGAACTGTCTCAATGACAGCATTAACCAGGCACAACCACAAAAATTACATACAATATGACACATGCTTTAGCTGTATCATGCAGTTGTTTTTTTTTTTTTTTTTTTCTTTTCATTTTTTATTTAATTTTTTTTTCTTCATTTATTGTGAATTAATTAAAATCATAAGCAAAAGAAACACAACTAAAAACCAGACATTTCAATCAACCTCAAATGATCTAATTCATGGAAAGATTTATGAATTCATCTCCTTCTCCTCCTTTTTTCCGCCTTCTTTATTCGGTTGTGTTCTTTGAGTACCGAAACAAAACATTACAAAAAACAATGGAGGCAGTTAAATAACACTTTGTAGTGTTAAATGCGGCTAAAATGTCGCATCATTTGCACACACTTGCTGGGTTTGTCAGTCTGCCAGTTGGTCTTCAAAGGTAATCCGGCTTTTATTATCTGTCTGTCATTTGTGTGTTGTTTCTAAACATGTTTCTCTTTAAAAATGTTTGCGATATTTTTTCATAATGTTTTTTACGGCTTTTTCTGTGACACAGAATTTTTGTTAAATTCGTATTGTTTAATGTCTCTTTTCTTAAGGCTACTAAGTTTTCGCAATGTAATTTATTGTGGAACGAATAAAATCGTTTAAAATGTATGATTAATGACCCTTGCTATTTGTTTAATTACTAAATAATATCAATTGATAGATACAATTCAATTCTTTCTGGTAGATGCATTTGATCGCTTCTGGCGATTTGATCGGTTTGCCCACTAACATTTCCCAATTTAATTTCAAAATAATCCCCATCCTTTCCAAGACGATTCCGTCGAGCAGACCGACAATTGTCCAAAGGTAAAAAAAACTGTTTAAGGTATCATATAGGCAGAAAATCTTTTAAAGCTCTTCACTAGACAGAAAACATTTCTCATCTCTTCACTAAACGGAAGACTTTCGTTGGTAGAATTCTTTTTAAACTCTCCACAGGCCACTTTCAGATTTTCTTCGGCGAGAAGGAAGATATTCAATAGAGGGAAGACCATCTCAAAATTACTTAGAAAGAGAGTTATTATAAGAATAGAAGACCTTCAAAAGGCCGTCTATTGACCGAGAAACTATTATCTTGACCAAAGACATCCTACAGATAGAAGACCTCAACCTCTAGTATTAGAAGACCTCCTAGATATCTGCGAAGGCCATCGTAAAGGGTCTTCTATAGAGAGAAGACCACCTACAGACCCCCTTTTGTCTTGACAAGAGACATCCTACAGATAGAAGACCACAGACTCTATTATTAAAAGACTTCCTAGATATCTGCTTAAGCATTCATAAAGGCCTTCTATAGATAGAAGACCACCTAAAGATCTCCTACATACAGGGTGAGATGAAAAAACTGCAACCAACTTCAAACTGCTGGCATTTCTAAGCCACTCGCCCGACAGAGCACTCAAACATTTAAATGTGAATAAATCTTTTGTGTCTCGTACCACCCTTTACCGTGATACTGGTAGCGTAGCCCGACATCAAGGAAGTGGACGTAAGAAAACAGCAACATCAGCAGAAATGGTTCGAAAAGTAAAAAAGCGACTTGATCGAAACCCGCGTCGCAGTGGCCGAAACATGGCTCTTAAGCTGAACATATCACAATATTCCATTCGACAAATATTGAAAAATGAGCCATTAAAATTCCAAAAAGTGCAAGAACTTACAACGCAACAGAAAGAAAATAGACTCAAAAGCGCTAAAGAATTGCACCGCTTGGCCGAAAGTGGTGAACTGCCGAATTTGGTTTTCTCCGATAAGAAAATATTCGTTGTCCATTCGTTGCAGTTTGTAAACAAACAAAATGATTATGTTTAAATGCCGAATATTATCGCGAAAATATTCGGAAGGGTGTATTAAAGCCTTGGGCACGCAAACATTTTCGTCGCATGCCTTGGACATTCCAACAGGACTCAGCACCATCGCAATCAGCACGCGCCTCCCAAGAATGGTTACAAAATGAGGTTCCCGCTTCATTTCAAGCGCACAATGGCCACCAAAATCTACGCATACCAATCCGTTGGATTATTTTGGAAAGCAGGAAAATATACCAAAGTGTCGATCACCTCAAGCAAGCGCTTCGCCGGGAATGAGCCAAAGTTCCGCAGAGCAATATTCGGGCAGCGTGTGACGGTTTCATTGTCCGTTTGAAGGCCACCGTTCCAAAGTTGACCAATTCGAACAAATCTAAATTTATTCTAAAATTTAATGCTATTTCCAACATTTTTTGCTTTCATTCAATAAAATGTAAAAATTATGGAGTTTGACTTTGTTGCAGTCTTTTATTTCACCATAATACTATTCTATTGACAAATGACAATACAAAGCCTATCTCTAGAAAGTTCATTAGAATTTGACCATTTATTTATGCATATATATTCGGTATATACCATATTTACACTAGATCTAAGGTTAGTAGAAATATTGGTGGGAACTGGGCATTTTATAAGAGCTAAAATTATTAAAAAAAATATTCAAGAAAAAGTGGCCCCTATTTACGCTAGAAATATAAAGACATGGTTCCCAAAGCCCTGAAACGGATTTCGTACAAAGAGACACATATTGGCCGTATCAAATGATAAAGGTATACAAATAGAAAAAATCTTAGAACTTTTACTAGAACTTTTGAAAAATATTCTCCCGTGTCTGACAAGGTTGTAAATAATATTCTATTTTCGTATCAATTACCTGCCGTTCAATGTGAAGTATGAGTAACGAAATGAATCAATTTATGCATAATATTACTCATACGTCGTCGACTCATCAAACGGAAGACAACGTTAAAGTGTTATTACAATGTTGATATTGAAACAATAAATAAATGGGAGTTGTATTTTCTGCAGCATCTCCCTCTCTCTCTCCCTCCAATGTAAATTTCCTTTCTCAAGATTATATAAAAAACGGAGAATTTGTTTAATGCTATTGATAAAATTTATAAAAATCCACAGTCAATTATATCTCGAGAGCAATGGATCAAACATTGCTTCTACAACATTCTCTTTTGAAGGCAGTTACCCTACTGTTATTTTCGTCTTCTCTTCCTGATAATCATTTCACTTTTTGACGGTTGATGATGATTCATTCACTGCTTTATATTTATTTAAATGCATGCAGAACTTACCTTGGTATACAGTTCGGTGGAGTACGATCAACTTCCCAAGCGGCAAATAACTTCATTGGGACTGGTTTTTGACCGTTCTGATGGTGTTGATGGCTGCTACTACTGCTGGTGTGATGCTGTTGTTGCTGCAATTGCTGGTGCTGTTGATACTGGTGCTGCTGTTGTTGTTGCTGCTGCTGCATGGTATGATAATAATAACCGGTGGATATATTCGAACCACTATGACCACCGCTACCAACTACAGCAGATCCACTGCTGCCGCCAATACCACCGACTGCAGCAGCGGCGGCAGCCGCCGATGTTGAGGCATTCATATTGGCGCTATATTTATCTAATTTTGATGACTTGTCAACCATTTTCATTTGTGCGGTTTTGTGTTTTGTATTAATTCTTTTATTTTCACTTTCTTTGTTTTATGGAATACGGCGGCAATGTTTTTGTTATTATTGCGAGAGTATTTTAAAACACACAATTAACAAAGAAGATACACGACGAAGACGACGGCCACAACAATTCTCAATGTTAATGACAGTGGCTGATGGTAGGCCAAAACACGACGACACCGACCGACACGACGCTGTGTGATGCTCAGTAGTGTAGTAACACACAAACAAAACACTCACAATGTTTACCGTTGGGGGAGTTAGGGGGAGGCCAAACAAAGAGAGAGCCGTCCAATGTAGTGAGTAGTAAATTTAACACAATAATGACGATGATGATGTTGTTGACTCTCCTTCTCTCTCAGATGATTATGAAGATGTTGTTCTTGCTGTTATTATGTTGCCTGCTGAGCAAAGCAACAACTAATTGCACACTCAAACAATCTTTTGCTGTATCTCTCCTGCAATTTTGCTCTCACTCTCTCTCTTGGATTATTTAATACTCTTAGAGATTTCGCGGTTTATTTCACAATAAAATAACATGAATGTCTCACAGAATATAGAGAAGACATAGTTGTTGTTGGTGTCTTTGTTGGGGATGCAGTTGTTGTTGGCATATTTCACATATCCCCACCATCATTATGAGATGAAATTTAAACGATTTTTTTCATAATTTTTCTTTTATTTTTGCAAATCTCTTTCGTTTTTTTGTTTCTTTTTATTGGAAGACAAATTCTTCTTCTTGACACTAATTTATTTAACTTTTCTGTATATTTTCTTATGAGTACACATTCAGCTCACTATTCAATGCTAATTTTTTGCATATCTAAAGGAAAAAGAAAGAATGAAAAAAAATGGTATTTTCAAGAAGAGGGAATACACAAGAAATTCTATGTAGGTATGTTTTATTAAAGAAAAAAAGAAATATTTTTTTTTTATATGTTGTTCACATGACATTTTGTAAATTTTTGTTGCTATTGTTGAATTTTTCTTTGTTTATTTATTACATTTATAAGGCACAACAATTTGCAAATTATCAAACACAAACAGCCAATATTAGGCGCACACATATATACACACACCCTATACTATTCACTCTCAGTAGAAAACAAACAAAATCAAACACAACACTCAGCTACTTGGGGCAGCCAGCTACTTGCAACAAGCTCTGCTATAAACTACCGCCGCAACTGCTATTGCAGCAGTTTGTGTCAAATGGGAAACAAGGGTGTGCCACTGAATAAATGCCGTCGTAAATTTGTGCCGTTTGTGCTTGCCACCGTCGTAATAGTACTGAATGATAACTCTTCGTTGTCATCGTCACAAGACCACCGACGACCGAGCACGCTGGCTACCAATATACATATGTCTCTCAATGAACATAACATGGATTGAGAGCGAGCGAGCGACCAGAAATCAACAACATTGATGGGCAATAAATGGGGTGGCGGTAGATGTTTGAGAATATGTAAAAAATATACATACGTAAATTGTCTCCCCCTCACCGCCCAAAATGAACGTGCGAGGAACGAGTGAGCGAACGAACATATACACAAGCATAAATTCTATATATAACAAGGATGCCATTTGCAAGTTATGCGCGAGGAAAACAAAATATTGGATTTAATTACAACTTCCAGGAATTCAGGGATTACAATATCAACATCTTTTAAGGTCGACGAAGCCGCATTACAAGGCGTGTGGATTAAAAGTGGCAATGTTATTCAATGAATTTTAATGAAAATTGTTGTTATTGTTGTATTTTATGGAAAATACGACCTGTACACGGACACTTTGAGTTTTACAAATTTTATTTTTTGCTGAGCGCTATAGATATTCTTAATTAGAAGTGCTTAATTCATTTTTGGTTGAAAAGTTCTTGATTAAAATCAGAATTATATATTTTTGCAAGAAAATACTTGTAAAAAATATTCTTCAAAAATTGAAAATTTTTTTCCTTTGTTTTTAAAAAAATTCAAATTTTTGACATTTATTTTTACAAAATCTCCAATTGATTTTAAAAACAAGTTGGAAAATCTCAGTCGAAATTCCGAAATATATATACACTTGGCATTTGACCACTGGTTTAAGTATATACTTATTATACATATCCCATCTTTACACAAAACTAATGTTAGAACAAATATTGATATATGTGGATTTTGAAGGAAACCGGGAATAACATTTTTTGATTGTTGTGATTTGATTGACCCTCCATGGTAGAGATTATCAAATAATCATTTTGGTAAATGATTTTACAATACTGAAAACAATAAATGTCAAATTAAAACTCAAAGTGTCGAAAATTGTGCCAGAAACATGCAAAATGAAGAATGATTGCCACTATTCCTAAGCGTCCAATATACAGACTGCTGTCATTTGTAAGCCACTCGTCCGACATCTGTTAAAATTATTCTAGTGACAGCCCATTATATTGTTTACAATATATCGTACAAAAGCATTTTGGTTAGAATTTTTTAGAAAAAAGTTAATAGTGATGGAATTCAAACGTGATAGTGTGATTTCTTTATATTTGGCTGGAAAACCACAAGTGGCTATCGTCAGAGCACTCCAGCGTTTAAATGGGTATAAATCTTTTGTGTCTCGTACCATCGTTCGTTACCATGATACTGGTAGCGTAGCCCGACGTCAAGAAAGTGGACGGAAGAAAACAACAACATCAGCAGAACCCGCGTCGCAGTGGCCGAAAAATGGCTCGTGAGCTGAACATATCGCAATATCCTATCGGCAAATATGGAAAAATGAGCTCGGGGCAAAGCCATTAAAATTCAAAAAAGTGCAAGAACTTACACCGCAACAGAAAGAAAATAGACTCAAAAGAGCCTAAGATTTGCTTGGCTTGGCCGAAAGTGGTGAACTGCCGAATTTGGTTTTCTTCGATGAGAAAACATTCGTTGTCCTGCAGTTTGTAAATAAACAAAACGATCGTGTTTACTTGCCAAAGAGGTCAGCTGAAAATGTGTACCTTCGGTTGGCCACCAGAACTCAAACGCCGGCCATGGTAATGGTGTGGGCCGCCATAACAGCCGATGGTCGCTCTCCGCTCGTATTAATCGATCGTGGCATCAGAATATGTGCCGAATATTATCGCGAAAGTATTGTGGAGGCCTTGGGCACGTAAACATTTAGGCCGCAGACCTTGGACATTCCAAAAGGACTCAGCACCAAAGAATGGTTACAAAATTAATTTACTCGCTTCATTTCCAGCGCACAATGGCCACCAAAATCTCCGGATACCAATCCGTTGGACTATTGGACTGGAGTATTTTGGAAAGCAAGGTTGGCACTAAAAAATACCAAAGTGTCGTTTGAAAATACTGCAGAAGCAGCACTCGGGCAGCATGTAACGGTTTCATTGGCCATTTGAAGGCCATAATTCGTGTCAAAGGTGAACAATTCGAACAAATCTAAACTTATTCTAAAATTTGACGGTATTTCCAACATTTTTTGTTTTCACTCAATAAAATTAAAAAAAAATGGAAAAATTATGACGTTTGACTTTGTTGCAGTTTTTTATCTCACCCTGTATATTGTGATCTTCCGCAATGAACCAATCCACGACTAAAACCATGACTAAACCTGTACTAAAACCAGGGTGAAAAATGAACTTTCTGTATATTACATAGGGTAAGTGCGTATAAGTTCGGCATGCCCCAGTAAGTCGGGGTTTTTATTATATTTAAACTCAAATAAATAAGATTTTTTTATAAATAATTGTAAAAATAAATTTATAACAGCTTCGAATATAGATATCTTTGTGAAAAATTTAGTAAAGAAACGATTATTTATTATCTTAAAATTTATATTTTTGTCTGGAAAGGTCCTTCAGTACGTTCTTCAGAAAAAATCAATGGAGACGTCAAATTAAAAAGACCCGTAAATATGTTAATATTAAAAAAATCAACGTGGAATTTTTAAAGCATTAAAGAACCCTCAAAAAAACTGTTTAAAAAATAATATTATAGTAAAATAATTATAATTATGACATTTTTTACTTCTAGGACACAAAAAAATCGCGTGGAAAATATGCAATTTTGACATTATAAGTAAGCAAAAATTAAAAATATTTGAAATAAATACTAGCTGTCCTAGATTCGGCAGAGATTTGAAATCTTTAAGAAATGCGATAAATGTATTTAATTATTCAAATTGTGTAAGTTATATGGAATAAAATGTAAAGCAACAATGTCAAATCAGTGTTATAAAGTAAAAATTTAACTACTTTACTAAATATGTTATTTTTCCCTTACAAAAAAAAAAAAAACATGTAAAAAAACATTAAGTTCAGCCGGGCCAAACTTTTAATACCCTCCATCATAGGGTAAAGGAAACAGTAGAACCCATTGTTTCCCACAAATACCAATTTTTAGTCACATTCGTTGGAAAATGTCGCAAAAACATAAAAATATTGAATATCGGAAGGTACCGCTATATGGGGCTATACAAAAACGTGAACCTATACATACAATATTTCGGCAACGGAGCTAAAACCAATTAGGACACTAAAATACCAATTTTTAGACAAATCCGCGAAGAAATGTGGAAAAATTAACCAAAATACCGAATATCTGGGGGTGCCGTTACATGGGAGCTATACCAAAACGTGGACCAATACATACAATGTTTCGCCACCGCAGCCAGAAACCATTATGAGCAATAAATACCAATTTTTAGACAAATCCGTGAAAAAATGTGACAAAAACCATCAAAATACCGCATATGGGGAGGTACCATTATATGGGGGCTATACCAAATCGTTGACCTATACATGCAATGTTTTGCCACCGGAGCTAGAACCCATTATGAATCACAAATACCAATTTTTAGACAAATCCGTAAAAAAACATGTGGCGAAAATCATCAAAATACCGAATATCGGAAGGTACCGTTACATGGGAGCAATACCAAAACGTGGACGGATATATCCAACCATCCTAGACAAATTATTTTGCTAAATTTTTACGCTCTACGTCAAATAATGTAGGCTGTATCGTAATTTCAACAGACAGACAGAAGGACACCCTTAAACCGACTTAGAATTTTATACTGATTATGAATATATATACTTTATGGGGTATACGACTAATATTTAGGGATGTTACAAACGGAATGACAAAGTTAATTGCCCTCCTTTCCAAGGTGGAGTATATAAAAATATCTGATTGAAAAGATGTGACATGTTTGTCAGTGGTCCGACCGAAATTCAGTTTAACAATTTATCTCAAAAATGAAATTTAAACTAAAATGTGACCCAAAGATTACCCCTGTTGCCATCGCAAGGTAGCAGAATTTATTTGTGTACTTTTATTATTGTCGTTGTTTGTTGTTGGCGTTTTTGCGGTTTCCAACCACTATCTACGGTACATAAAATACAAATGTTAATGTAGGTAATGAACATGTATTTGCGTTTAACACTTTCAAGTTGTTTTTCTTTTCTATTGTTTTCATTTCACCGGACCCCACTTCAAAAGAAATCGCAAGGTTTTTTTTTCCATTAATGGTACTTGTACCAGCGACAAACACATCTACACAAACAAACAATTATGAAATGCCTGAGCAAAATTATGAATCATGTTGGTGTTTAAATTTTTGTCAGTTTTTATCACAACAAACTCACTTATTTGCAAATATTGCCTTCATAAACATTTAATGCAAAAATTTAATAAATTCATTTTTTTTTGGTTTTAACACACAACACATTTTTGTTTAATAATAGAGCAGAAAAAAGTAAGAAATATATGCAAGTGTGTATTTCCGCACAAAAAGAACCAAAAATTAATGCAAAAGAGCGATGGCAAAGGCGAC